CACCGGAGAAAAATGTCGCCGCGACAGTGACTTGGTCCAAAGAAGAAGGATCTCTTCCCGCAGGAAGATATTCAATCATCAAAGGAGCTCTTCATATCAAGAATGCGACAGTCGGTGATAATGGAATGTACGTGTGTACAATTCGTACTGACCAGGGGGCCGTACAGGCGTCTGTTACACTCAATGTTAAAGGTAATCATTTTTGATTTTCTCAGTGAAATCTTTTTTTAGCACTAAGTTAATTGTCCTCAGCAAACCTAATTGACTAATGTATCAATGAGTCACAAAATTCTCCTTTCTGATTGGTTGTACGCGTTGCTACTTGTGACGTCCTTGGAGTGTGAGCTAGTGCCCAGGCAAAACTCTTTACAATAACGTTTTTAATTCAAAGCATGCGTGCATTAGCTCCTCTTGGAAATTGAAATAGGAACTGTTAGCGTGGGAATTCAGTAATTATAAGTGTTTAATCTCGCTGTATACTGTATTATGCATGATATTAACCGAATAACAACTCTTTCTCATATGCAGCTCGTCCTCTTATCTCTCTTCCCACGGGACCGGTATACTCCGAAAGTGGACAGAGTGTCAAGCTCCCGAAATGCCGGGTAATCGGGTATCCCCCTCCGGTGGTATCCTGGACTAAACTTTTTGACCAGCTTCCCAGTGAAAGAGCAACCGTGCAAGGTCATACCTTGACCATAACAAAGACGGAAAAGAAAGATGCAGGAACATACATCTGCACCGCTACCAACGCCCTGGGCACATCACACGCCATGACAGCTCTGATAGTAAATGTGTTGCCTCAGTTTACAGTCAAGCCGCCAGACAAGATAGAACGTTACCATGGACAGTCAGTCACACTAAACTGTTCTGCAAAAGGACACCCAGTACCCAGTATCACGTGGGCAAAATGTAAAGGAGACATTCCAGAGGAGCGGTCACAAATGGAAGGAGGACAACTGAAGATAAAGAGTTTGAAGGCAGAAGACAGTGGTACCTATATCTGCTCTGCTCGAAGCGAGTTCGTTCACGTGGAGACTGAGGTGCAACTGATTGTTAAAACTGGTAAGCCAGCTGTTTAAGATACATAAACGCTGTTTTTAACGAAAAGTTGAGTAATAACCATCATTAAGCAACAAATTCAAAAATGATTTGTTTTTTAAGCCCTCTTTTCTTTTATTTTATTTTTAGCTTGTTTCTTTTGTACCTTGTTGGTTAATTTAGTAAGGTTTTACTGTGGGAAAGAGACATAAGATTGTCTTATAACTCAGGAGGTATTCGGATTCTAAATAGCAAAAGCACTCTTTGTACACTGCCATGACTTTGTTCCCTGTCAACCCTGATTTATGGTAATGAATCATTCTATTCACAAATGAGTTAGAAAACACAAATTAACTTTGAAGCTGCCCTCTTCTTTCATTGACTGATTTATTTTGTCTTCAGCCCGAGACTGTGCCGAGCTGTTTTCTGCTGGCTTCAAGGAAAGTGGAGTGTACACAGTCAACCCAACAAACAAATCCAGTTTTGAAGTGTTCTGTGACATGAAGACAGACGGCGGTGGATGGACTGTCTTTCATAAACGCTTTAATGGGTTTGTTGGATTCTTTAGGAACTGGGACGAGTATAAGAACGGCTTTGGTGACGTCAGAGGAGAGTTTTGGCTTGGAAACGAAAAGATTCATCAACTGACTGAGATTCCGAGCCAGCTGCGAGTGGAAATCAACACGACATCAAGTGGAAATAGATATGCTAAGTATAGTAATTTTACAGTTACTAACGAGGCAACTAACTACACACTGTTTGTTGGTTTCTATTCTGGGAACGCTAATGATTATCTTGCCTATTATAATGGCATGAGTTTCTCTACCAAGGATCGGGATAATGACAAGACCNATCACACGCCATGACAGCTCTGATAGTCAATGTGTTGCCTCAGTTTACAGTCAAGCCGCCAGACAAGATAGAACGTTACCATGGACAGTCAGTCACACTGAACTGCTCTGCAAAAGGACACGCAGTTCCTAGTATCACGTGGACAAAATGTAAAGGAGACATTCCAGAGGGGCGATCACAAATGGAAGGAGGACAACTAAAGATAACCAGTGTGACGGCAGAAGACAGTGGCACCTATATCTGCTCTGCACGAAGCGAGTTCGTTTATGTGAAGACTGAGGTGCAACTGATGGTAAAAACTGTTAAGCGAGGTGTTTAACATTTACACACACGCTGTCTTTTAACTAAAAGTTGAATAATACCCATCATTAAACAACAATTTTAAATACTCTTTGTCTTTTTAAGCCATATTTTCTTCTATATTTTATTTGTAACTTGTTTCTTTTGTCCCTTGTTGGTTAAATTAGTAAAGTTTTACTGTGGGAAAGAGTACCTAAGATTGTTATATAACTCAGTAGGTTACTGGTATACACTTCTTTAAAATCGGATTCTAAATAGGAAAAGCGCACTTTGTATACTACCATGACTTTGTTCCCCCTTTGTGGTAATGTATCACTTTATTCGCAAATGAGTTAGAAAACGCAACTAAACTTTGAAGCTGCCTTCTTCTTTTATTGACTGATTTATTTTGTCTTCAGCCCGAGACTGTGCCGAGCTGTTTTCTGCTGGCTTCAAGGAAAGTGGAGTGTGCAAAGTCAACTCAACAAACAAAACCAGTTTTGAAGTGTACTGTGACATGAAGACAGATGGCGGTGGATGGACTGTCTTTCATAAACGCTTCAATGGGTTTGTTGGATTCTTCAGGGACTGGGACGAGTATAAGAACGGCTTTGGTGACGTCAGAGGAGAGTATTGGCTTGGAAACGAAAAGATTCATCAAATGACTGAGATTCCGAGCCAGCTGCGAGTGGAAATCAACACAACATCCGATGGGATTAAATATGCCAAGTATAGTAATTTTACAGTTACTAACGAGGCAACTACCTACACACTGTTTGTTGATTTCTATTCTGGGAACGCTTACGATAAAGTTCACTATCATAACGGTATGGCTTTTACTACGAAGGATCGGGATAATGACAAGCAGAATAGTTATAACTGTGCTGTAAATGACAAAGGAGCTTGGTGGTTTAAAAACTGTTACCATTCTAATCTGAATGGTAACTATGGAGACAGTAAATATCAGTGGAGCTGGAGCTACCTCAAGGGAAGCGAGATGAAACTCAAACCAAAATCTTCTTGGTCAATGTTTTGTTTTACGGATGAACGCTGATCAAATCAAGCACAGGAAAAAAAGCAAAACTGAGCAAACTAAAAATGTTTTTTTTTTTTTNACTGAGAAAACTAAAAATTTTTATGTTTTTTTTTTCTGACAATACAGTCGCATCTTCAACAAGAGTACAGACATAGTAGATCATGAATACCATCCCTCCCGCTAGGTTACTGGAGGGGAGTAGGGGAGGCGGTTGCATGAATTTGATCCGCTCGATATTGCTTTTCCTCCTTTATTTAGGTTTTAACAAATAAAAATCCAATGTCTTTGCGTCCCAAGCTTGAAGACTCGAGAATGGCGCGGTGGTAATAACGCGCGTGTAAAACGCGTTACACAAACGATTGGTCAAATTTGATCTTGCGTTCGCCAGCTTTCATCTCTCTGTACTCCGCTGATCTTCTGTGCTTCCTTTTCGAGCTTTGAGCAAGTTCGTCAAGAACTCTCCTGTTCCAAAGAAAACAAAATACAAAAATAAAACTACAGTGTAGAGCCGTTTCGTTGGATCTTCCTACAACCAATTCTCTTTCGGAGCTCATGTTCTTACTTCGCGTACGCAGAGCATTACTTCCGTTGGGATGTTTCTACTGAACATTTCATACACCGTCTGTCTTATTGATTGAGTAATGGTCATCCACGGC